TTTAAACCCGGATGATTGTAACCACTCTAAGTTCGTCTGCCTTGGGAAAGCTAGCGTGTCTCTGACATAGTGATAACACTCGTTGCCTTCTCTAGTGCAGCTCAACCAGGTCTCGTCCCATTCATCGAAATTGTGATATCACAAATCCCGGAAAATATGCGTTGTAGTCAAAACGAGTCGTTCGCTGTATTTTTTCAAAAGTTTTTTCTGTTAAATAAAATATCTCCTTTTGAAGTGGACTTTGAGCTTTGTAACTTTGCAGATCTTTTTTATGCTCAAACAGCAACATTACAGACTAACTAAAGTTGAAAAAGTAAAAAAGCATAATAGGACCCCTTTAAAAAGAACCATTTTTTCTTAGTCTAAAGGACATTTAATATAAACTAAAGAACTCCAACTATAAATAATGTTTTGTGCAATGAAAAGGTTTCATGGATGTTTAAGGTTCTTCGTAGAACCAAAGATGCCACTAAAAAACCTTTATGGCAACAACAATACTCAAGATACTGACCAGACATCAGAATATTTATTGAAAATTCCATCTGTTAAACTTTCTGGTCCATCCAGCGAACAGGAAGAAGACCTTCAACCTTCTTCCTGTAGTAGTCGTTCTTATACACGTCACGGGCCAATCCGAAATCTCCTATTTTAACGACCCTTTCTGGGTCTGTGTAGCTTCTTACTGACACCAGACAGTTCCTTGCAGCAATATCCCATATGTGCATATGAAATATAGTTTAATTTAGATGTATTTACATTCATGCATTTGGCAGGCACTGGTTTCCAAAGTGATTTACATTGCATTCAAGGTGTACATTTCATGTATTCATGTATTCCTTGGGAATCAAACCCATGACTTTGGCATTGTTAGATACAGGAATGCATTAGCACAGTATATGAACAAAGTGCATCCTTTCTAAATAAGCACATCCTGCAGCAGCATTGAAACTGATGTCCAGGAGGCTGGTGAGGTTCAGTAGCTCTTTATGATTCTATGAGACATAAGAACATGTTAGTGCTGGTCAGTAAAAGCAGCACCTCATATATATCAAAACAATGCCTCACAGTTGTAGGACGAGCTCCTCTCAGGTAAGAACGAAGGTCTCCTCTGTCCATCATCTCCAGGATGAGGTAATGTGGCTCGTTTAGCAGACACACTCCAAGCAAACGCAGGATGTTAGGATGATTAAACTGGCTGAATAGCCACAAACACAAAACACTGCATGAAAAATCTGCTCCAAAGCGTATCAATTGAATAAATACACTACCATTTAAAAGTTTAGGGGGAGTATGTTTTTTTAGAAAGAAATTACTGAATGCATTAAATTACTGAATTAAATTAATGAATGCATTAAATTGCTCAAAAGTCAGTTAAGGCATTTATAATGTTACACCAGATTTGTATCTCAAATAAATGCTGTCCTTTTGAACTTCCTGTTCTTCGAAGAATCTTGAAAACATTGTATCAGTTTCTGCAAAAGTATTAAGCAACACAACTGTTTTCAACATTGATAACGATAAGAAATGTTTCTTGAGCAGCAAATCAGCATATTAGAATGATTTCTGAAGGATCATGTGACGCTGAAGACTGGAGTAATGATGCTGAAAATTCATCTTAAAATATATTGCAATAGAAATAGTTATTTTAAATTGTAATAATACTGTACTTTTGCTCAAATAAATGCAGCCTTGGTGAGCACATGAGACTACTTTAAAAAAACATTAAATAATCTCACTGACCCCAAACTTCTGAAAATAAATAAATAGTAGTTTACAGCAGATCTCAGTAAAGGGCCCTTTTAGACTTTACTTTCTCCCACAACACTAATTAACAGCAAACCCCATGCCAAACATTGCCATTTGCTCTAGGCCAGGGGGCCTCATCATCATTTGTTTTGCCCCACTGTTCCCTATTATAATCATATTTTCAGTGTGATGCTGAGAGCAAACATGTCTTTTACCTCATCAAATAAGATTCTTTTAAGAATTGGGTTATCTCATAGTCACTGACATCTTTTCGCAGTGTCTGTGAAGAGATCGGTTTGTGAGACATTTTATAATCACAATCTATAATTGCCAAAACAGCATGTAAGTAGTCCCCATGGAAGTATATGAGAAATATCATTTTAGTATATATATATATATATATATATATATGTGTGTGTGTGTGTGTGTGTGTGTGTGTGTGTACCTTGACAGCCACTCTCCTCTCAGGAACAACTTCACTAATTTGGCTGCCAACTGTAACTCCTTCATAGATTCTCCAAAAGCACCACTACCCAACAACCTCTGAAGCTTCAGACAGTGTTTAGGAAACACAGGAAGTGACTCAATCTCTCCTTGGGCGGGTCTGTTACTGGGAAATGTGGGAAAGTTGTTTAAATATCAACACATTTTGTGGTTTATAGATGCAACAAAATCACACTGAAAGGAAGCATTAGTTTGTAAGCGATGTTCATGTGTACCTGATAGCATAGCAGGCATTACCAAGACCAAATAAACCTCAAATATACTCCAATTCCACATCTGGATTGACATGCACATCTGTTTGTGTAACTGTCCCAGGATCCTTTTTCTTATGGCGTCTGTGCCAAACTATATCAAAACAGCAAGCAAAGCAAATGTTGTGCTTTCAAATCCTCTCATTAATTTTAATATGGGGATGAAATAGATTTTACAAAAGGGAATTGTGTCATTTGTGTACTTACTGACTGCAGCGAGGATGAGAATAATCAGTGTAATACAGGCAGCAACCGATACAATCACAATAATCAATGTCATGTCAGTGTCTAACGAAGTACCTGCTGCGTGACAACCAGAGAGCAATTAAAGGAATAGTTCAGCTAGAAAAGAAAATATGCTGGAAAATGTTCTCACCCTCAACCATCCAAGATGTAGATGAGTTCATAGATGAGTTCATA